TAGTAAATAACAATGCATGTTCCAATATCGGCCAGCGTTGACATAGCGTGTCGATACCAACATTTCTATGGCTTACAAAATAGATTGAACTAGGTGTCTAGTATTGAATTCTATTTACAGTTAGTGTTACTTTTATATGTAAAGGCCAATAACCAATACACTTGTTTCTATAGCTCAGAAAAAAAAACAATTGTACGACGTTGATCGTTAATCATAACTAAAAAAAACCCAGGATTTCAGTCAGATCAGTAACACCCAAAGAAACAATACGAAAACGTCATTTATTTAAGAAAACAAATTGTTTTCCTTCCAAACTCAGCTTATCCTCTCTCTAAAAGATTGCGCAAAGGCTCACATAGCATAATACCGATACTTTTATAGGAGAAATAAGTGTGTATGTATAAGATTATTTCGTGGCAAACACGATCCATCATTGTTGGTTTTTGTCCGAGAAGCTGTACACAGTCGGTATCCCAGTCTTTGTTGTGATGACGTAACGATACAGAGCTAAGTATGTGCCAACCACGTACAGGACAAAACAAAAGAATGAGGGTGCGGGCTTTACCGTATTTTTTTTCACGGAAAATAAATGATTCGGATTTCAAATGCGACGAAATAAAAAGTGTTATGGGTTATGTGATTATATGGATTATTTACAGTTGTATGTATGTACATACATTCGGAAATAAGTAAGTAATTGGTAAATAATAATTAACAGTTTAAGTAAAGTTTTGTTTTGTAAATACTAAATTCTTAATCACTAACTATGTATTTTTAATTTCTATGCAAAAATTAAACTGGCAGGATAGATAATACCTATCATTGTTTTAGCAACACGATCCTTGGATCTATCCGGATCCTAACACTAGACAAAAAAAAAAAAATAACATTTAACGTGCGACAATTGTGAGAACATTATATCTTATAATGAAATAAGATATTCTTGGTCTCTGTAACCACTTCTAATATTTATTTGTTACCACCACGAAGATATAATAAAAATAATCTCAGTTTGACCGCTAAAGTGACAAAAAATCTTCCATTTTCTTTTTCCCTTTTCACATAGACGCCTATTTGCTTCCAAAAGAAAACAAGCAAACTAAAAATAAAGTAAAAAAAAGAAATATTATGTAATGATCAGTCTTTACCCTCAGCGTCGTAATTTGTTCCCCATTCTTTATTTACAACATTCGTAATTTCGCTTTACGTAACCCTTTTGAGGATAAAATAATATTACGGAAAAAAATGTGTTTTGCTAGTTTGATAAATATTTCTTCGAAGGGGATAATTTTGTTTTGATTAATTTATTGGATAGGTAAATTATTATTATTATTATCTCTGTTATTTGTGTCAGTAATCTTTTATACTCATAACTTACCACGTTATCTCTTTACAATTTATTACACGTTATTTGTAAACAATAATTTTGCACTTATCAGAGGGCAGCACTGTAGAATACAGTTCTCCCTTTACTCGTCACTCATATAGTCTTTTAGGACAATTTTGCTGCTTTAAAAGTAAACTTTCTGTTACGAAGATATTTTTAAACCTAGTCTAGTTTAAAGAGTGATTTAGTCATTGCTTTATCACTGGAACAAATCAAGACTATTAAATGGAGATCGTTAACAGATCGAGTTTGTACAACTGGGTCAATTATGAAAATCTCAGATTTTATCATAAAACTTTTACTAACTAAAGACGTGACCGCGCCACGTGATCGGGTACTGTAAACACGAGTTAAAAGTCATCCGAGTTCAGATATAGTCTCGTGATTTTAATCGAATATAATCGCAGCGTTTCAACTCGATTCTGAATTAGAAGGTTTTGTCTAGGTTTCATTTATTTCTTAGTCATGTTTATCAGCTAAAAAGTAAAGGAAGGCCTAGATTATAATGTAGTTATACGATCATAGACGACCGAACATGAAAACTATTTTTGAATTTTTATGCATTGCAATAGATCCTGTAACATGGTACTCATAACCGAACTGGTAAAAAATCATCCTAATGTAGGTACACTGACCTTATGGGGGATTAAAAGGTATGAAATTACGCGAAAGCTTAATGCCCCCCAAAATTTATTCAACAATATACAGCGCTGAGCTTCTTTATGTTAGCATTTGAGGTTATCTAATTTGGCTTCTACTGCTGGTTTATCATCAATGAGCCGCTTGGCACGATGCTCGAGCCAGTCTAATACGTCAAGCTGTTATTTGGTTGAACCGTCCCAGCAACGCCTGCATGTGAGCTAGTCGATATGATTGGGCCAATGATATATGCAAGTTTGAACTAGAAACTGCCCAAATGAGAATGAAAGACCGCGTATGGAGATTTGTCTTTATTTTCGTTACAAAATTGATTATATTCGTTACAATATTGACTATTCACTTAGAAGAGTTGTAATGTGCTAATTTCCTGTCAGACATGAAAATAATTGCATTTAAAAATAATTTATGATCTGTATTAACTAAATCCTCAACTGAAATTCGTCCTACTGATAGTAAACCTAACTAGGCAATCAAAATATCAGCAGGAGTAAAATTAGAAATATAATACCTAAACAAAACTGAATGGCCAATAGATAAACAGATGGCCCGGACATGGTTATAGTGCTAGTGAGGCATCTTTTATTTGAGCACTTTTCGGAAAGGACCCTAAAATGATTCCTATAAATAGAACGATCGAAATCCGATTAGATTCGATAGCAATTTCCTCGAAAATAAATCTTAGAAGGTGTCCAATTTTCTGATATTTTTTTTTTCGTTCAACCGCTCATAAAATAGCAATTGTAAACATTTCAAAAGGAGGAATTTGAAAGTCGCGCTGTACTTTATACCTATTTACGGATTTCCACCGAGCGTGTTTCAAAGAATAAACGGTCATTACAGTCGGTCGTTGCACACGAAAATTCTTTCGTGTCTATTCAGTCGTATTCCAAAGCAGTTTGAATAGTGCACCAGTGAAAATAATCGCCATAGTAAAGCACAATCGTTGACTGGAAGGGTGCCAAGTCGCAGCGTACGCGGTGCTACGCTTCCTATGTGTTTCGCTCCAATAGAATTAACAATTTCCCATGCAATCGCTGGCGGGCTGCGACCGCCCGCTGTCAATGAGTATCCGGTTGTTTATAAAAAAAAAGATACGACGGCGACGGTTTAATCGACATTTTTGCCTATGCACTGGTCTTCACCGTGAGTGTATTGAAGTAAAACTAATACAAACATTTTATAACTACTTGTTTGTAAAATTTAGTGTTTCACAACTCACATTATATTCATCACCTTACATTATAGTATAGGAAATGCATTAAATCAACTTGTTTGTTCTCTTTGTTGTCTCTTACATTGTTTTCGTAAAAAAACTTTTTCAAAAATGTTATTTGAAATGGAACATTTCAATGATAACAACGATAAATCGTGGCTCTTAATTAATTCTTGCTCAAAGATAAGGGTTCTATTTAAATTTTAATTGGATTTCCTCGAATTCGACGCTTCGGTCGTGTGTCAGTAAGTTAAAATTTATTATATTTTCACAGTAGTCGCATTCAGAAGCATGTTGCCGCATCCATGTAGACAAAGAATAAAGTCCTCTATAAAATGACTGCTGGCCGCGAGCCAGCCATCCCGCGTTGTCAAGAAACGACAAACTTCGTTTAATTCCGACGGCAATTGACAAATTTTAAACGAAAATTAATTTAAGACGTTAACGAACTTGTCAGCGGATGTTGTTTCAAGTTCCAGGCTTTGACAGGATTAAAATACCACGCCTTTGTAATTATGTCCACAATAACCCTCTTACATCTAATCCCTCAGGAAACACCAAAGACGTCGGAACCGCGATGAATTATGCCTAATTTTAACGATACCGTCTGTGTTCTTTTTGTAATCTTTGTGTTATTGTTATTCCCTTGAAATGGTATGTTTTGTCCGCACAATTTAATACAGCACTACAGCACGGCACACAGCGGTACAGACGGATATATATGTAAGTACAGAGCGTTAGTTTTCCGATGGTTTTATGCTGCTCCAAATATCGGACGGAGAGCTGCCTCGCTTTAAGGCAAAAACCTTTTTATGCTTCCCAGAAGTACTTTCACACTCTTTGGAAATTCTATTTTTAAAAAGCTTTTATAATTATGTTTCATTTAGGCTTACTTATGTTTCTGTAACGATGGTCCTTGATGTTTCATAAAAGGTACTATAATTACCAAACAAATTACTTTTTGTTACAGAATTAGGAACGGCTTGAATAAGTAAGTGGCAATGTAATTATGTACCAGCCTATTTATATACAAACACAGTAATTAAAACAGTAAAGAGGTGCTCTTAGTGTAATAATCTGAGCCAATGAATTAGCTTTAGTAAGAAAGTATACAACCGTAGAGACACAGTCGAAATGCCTTTGTTCCCTACAAATAAAATAATTATAGCAAATCATTACAAGAGACATCAATTATTGTTTTCGTATAACAGTACTATACATATGTAGAAGTATTCACGTCCTTCAACTAACGTAACATAGTAATACATCTCTCATAACACAAGGAAAAGAAAGGACACAAATATAATTTAATAAACGTCAAAACATAAGTCTGCCCGCAGTCAAGTTGCTTGTTACGACACACATACATACTCATATGTACAAGAAACTATATGAAAAGCCCTTAATAATTAACTTAGTTGTTACTTGTAACTTCGTATTACCACTCGGTACTCGTACTAGTGTTGAAATATTAAACATGAGTTACTTTTGCTCCTCATATCGTTCTGTGATGTTTTGCCAAACTTTTACCTCCGAATAATTTCTTTGATACGGTTCACACAATGAGAGGTCGATACATTCAATTTTATGGTCTACGAAACATTTCTTGTTCACGGTCTAGCTGTTATATACTAACAATACGTTTAGGAAAAATAATAATAGACGCATTATAAATTAATTATTTATTAAGATTTGATTTGAATTGAAGATTTCACAAACACTGAGAATCGTAGTAAACAGTTATTTTAATTTGTAGTTCTTTTCCTTCAAATAAAGAGAAATAATTTCATTAAAGTTAGCATCCACAGCAAAACCGAGTTTCAGAGCGCTCTTGTTATCAAAATGCACTGGTAAAGAAGCAACCATGCGGGAAATCGTTTCATTATATTCGTAGCGAATGAGGGAAGCAACTTTATCCCCGGCGACTTCACGGAGAGCTGCAATCATATCCCCCACTGAGACACAGAGTCCGGGAAGGTTAATGGAACGCCACTTGCCCAGAGCACTGGCATCCAATGTTGCTGCATGGATAATGTTGTGTATCACTGTCGCAGGACTAGTCAGCCACAATTCCTGTTTCATATCTACCGGGCATACTGCAACTTCGCCGTTTAAAGGCTCCCGAACTATTCCACTGGCAAATGACGTCATCGCAGCATTTGCGACACCCGCACGTACGCTCACTGTTGGTAACCTGACGCTGCGACCATCCACAAAACCACGGCGCGAGTAATCGTTCACTAGTAATTCACACATTGCCTTTGCAGTTCCATACGATGTTTGAGGCATTGTCGCAGTCAAGTCATCGATAACAGGTGGCAAATCCCCTCCAAAAACACCTACAGAACTGGCGAAAACGAATTTGGCATTTGGTGCTGTTTTCCGAAGTGCGTCCAGAAGATACTTAGTCGCATCCAAGTTTGCTTTTAATCCATAATCGAATTCAGCTTCTGCTTGTCCACTAACAACAGCAGCAAGGTGAAAGACGACATCACAATTTTCACCGACTAGTTCTTCAGCAGCGGATGGTTTTGTTAAGTCAAGTGCCAGAACTTTGACTCGGGGATCTTTTCTTGGCGGAGGAGTGTAGACATCAGTTAGGATGAGCTCGGTTACATTTAGAGGACAAGGTGGTTCAGTCCTAAGCAAGGCGTCGGCCAGACGAGAGCCAAGGAACCCAGACGCTCCAGTCACTACGACCTTCATGATTCGCGCTCACAAATTTACTGCAGTAAATTATAAACCGTTATCACAAAAGTTATGAGTTTCATAAACAAATTTGAACTTTACCATTTACATAATGTGTTTCAATAGATAATATTGTGAGTTGGTAATCACTGTTTAAATAGATAAATTTTGTAATAACATGTTATGTAATTGTTAACATTGTGATTTTTACGTTTTGTTTGTCGTTTATGTACTACGCTGAAACTTGTTTCAATCAACAAGATTCAACTGAATTTTTTTAACAAACTATGCGAAATTAACTCACGCTATAAGATTCAACAGATAAATATGCTAATATATCAACAAATTTCCAGAACAAAACAGTATTTAAAAAAACTGAATAATATTTGAGTTTCTAGACACGAATCGTGTCTCTTTTTCTGGAACCATCTCGTCAAAACATTCAAAACAGTACTTGGAAAAGCAGCTTATCAATAAAAGTAGGTAATATTACTTTCAAGGACAACTGCCTTCACGAATGCTTCCATTTCTACCTGTTGCTACGTGATTAGGCATTTATTTCAAACATGATCAAAATAATATTTTCCCATAAATACTCAGGTACTTATACTGTCTTCTTCCGAAAATTACTTTGCTTCAATCTCCATCCAATTATATTTTTAAATAAACTGGGAGGGTATTATGTACTTTGTAATAATGATTGCTTTTTATTTTAGCAGGTTCGCGTAATAAACATGGCATAGAGATACCGAAAAGACTAAATTGTATTACCATGAATCTGTATATAAATGACAAAAACGTCTCAAAAATATTCTGCGTCATAAAAAACAACAAACTTTATGTAGAGAAGCCAGCTATCAAATCTTTCCCAATTTTAGAGATTGTAATTTGAATAAGGTAGTTTCCTAAACTTTATTTTAATGTCTGTCTAGTAAATTATTTTAAAACATTAGACACGTATTTTTTCCTCACAAAATTAAATATTTTCGACGATATATTGATTTAAAATATCGTGTAACGACCTCCCAATCCTAAATTTGACTCTATTTTATCTAAGTATTGTATAACTTTATACGAGAAAATAAAAAACGTGTCCAATATTTGTTTAATTAATTATCTAACTCTATCTAACTAATTAGATTTTTAATTTTTATACCCTGGCAACGACCATATTGTGTATATTTACCTTACCTACCTTTATATAAATACCTTATAATAACCCAGTTTAGTTAAATCATGACTTAGGTTTTACAATCAAAAATTATAATTATAATATTTAATAGTAACAGGCACTTTTAATCAATTGTCAGCGCCTAAAAGTACTAGGCGGACATAAATTCAGAAGGGATGTGTCGTAGCATCGAGCAATCAAACATGTGGGCAGAAATCTAAGAGCAATGGAATCTGGCACGCAACCAAGTATCGTTACTTCAAATCGTGCTTGATTGAACTGTCCACTATCAATCTACTAGCCCGTTACTGTTCCACAGTTCCATGTTACGATAGGAAAAGTTAAATAAAACTCATTGATCAGTTACTGTTGTAAGTGAAACATTTTTGTTTTATTACTGGGGTATAAAGTTTATATTTTAGTTAGTGTAAGGTAATAAATGTTAGAGTTATGACTTGTGAATGTATGAATGTTGTGGATATCGATGATTCCATTGATGACGTAGTCGCTTGCACTAAAGAGGTTCTTAAATCGATATAATTTATCAAGTCTGCAAAATGTGTCATTTTAACTGACCCCAGTTCTTAAATGATCATCAACGAAACCAGTACATCTGATAAATTTCAGGTGGATCGAAAATATGAAGAAAATAGGGTAGATGACTAATTTTTATTTTAATGTCCGTCTGGTAGATTATTTAACTCGTCGAGTACCGTATTTATAGACACAATTAAAGAACAATAGGTTGCGGTCACCGGTGACCGCTTGGTGTTTGACAGTTTAAAAATAAAGACACGTATCTTTTATTTTCTTACGGAAACGTATAGTTCCGAAGATATATTGATTTGAAATATCGCATGACGTCACTTTTGAGTACGATTTATACTCTAAAATGACGTAGCTACCTCCCACTCCCAAACTTTGATTCGTTTTATCTAAGTATTGTTTTCTTATACCACAAAATAAAAAAAATACGTGTCTAATATTTTTTCATTACCTAACTGACGGACTAATTAGATTTTTAATTCCAATACCCTGCCATCATACCTATTATTCTATTTTGCACTTATGTTATGCCTGCGTCCAGTGACGATCATAATTATCATCATGGATAGTTATGACAGGACCCCTCTGATCCCCATACTGCCACCCATCAAAAGCATAGCGCCGGTAAATGTTGGGCAAGGGAGAATATGCTTACGTCGGGGAAAGAAGTAGGTGGGTTCTCCCTCTGAGCTCGACCGCAAACTACAACAAATCATTTTAACAGACGCACATTTTATAACCTCAGAAACATACTTCAATAGACCTCTATGGAAGGCAGATGCACAAATTAAATTACGCAACAAAGTAACTTGACATTAAAATTAATTTGTAACTTCATTATCTTTCACAATATCAATACAAGCAATGTTATCTAAACAACTATTTATTTAACAGGAGCTACATACACATCAAGGTAGACGAAACTACTATATCATGATCTCTTAAATTATTTATCGTTCGGGACATTTGACGGTCGTTTTATACTGGTTTTAAAATACGTACGAAATGATATAAAAACAATGACTTCGACGTATTTGACCCCTGAATAACGTCCCTTGTTCATATAACATGGGGTCATGCACGGAGGGTGTAAACGAATTGACATGTGGGAAGCGACAGGATATTCTCGTTCTAATTAGAAAAAATATGTTACCGTTTACGTTTCCAGTTAGTATTGAAAGATGAGTCAGTGTAATTGTTTAGTAAGTTTTAAGTGTGGGAGAGCCATGCTTCGGCACGAATAGGCCGGCTCGACCGGAGTGATACCACGGCCTCACAGAAAACTGACATGAAGTAACGCTTGCGTTATGTTTCGTCGTGTGAGTGAGGTTACCGGAGGCACAATTACCCTCCCCTTCCCCAATCTCCCCAATTCCTGAATCCCCAACGATCCTCAAACTCCTAATCCCTAAAAGGCCGTTAACGCACTTGTAACGCCTCTGGCCAGGTCTCCATGGGTGACGCCGATTGCTTACCATCAGGTGATACGTCTGCTCGTTTACCGGCTTATGCCATAAAAAAATAGTAAGTGTAGTTAGGTGGTTGTAGTTCTGACACCTACAGCTGTTCCTGATCTGTTATTACAAGAAATATTTACAGTTAAAATTCTTGTAGTTTTTGATATTAAATGTAGATATCATAAACAATGAGAACATAAATATACACATAAAATATAACAGGCAGATGTAGTATCCATCTAATATTTGTTAAATACGTATGCCTATCACTCAAAAGTAAAATTGTAAACAAACAAAGTTATCTACATTGAGGAAAATTTTATTTATTTACTACAGTTGGGTAACCAAAATTATTAACTTTTGTATAATATGTATGATTACTTAAAGTGGGTTGTAAAGTAGCTAAATAATAATATATACACCCACATATCAATACATAATAGGGGGTGAGCCTATTGCCATATACCGGGCACATTGCCAGACTCCGTGCTACTATTAAGAATAAAAAAACAGTAATACTTTGCCCGACCCGAGATTTGAACCCCTTGCCCAGTCGCACTTGCGACTATTCAGACAACGAGAAAGTCGGCTAAATATTAAAAAGTATCACTAAAAAGTATGACAGGTATACATATTCATACAAAATATAGACATCAAACAAAACAGCGTACAGTATCGGTAAATAGAAAAAAAATAGTAATCGAATATAGAGGTAGAACACATAAGAACGAACTAGAAGAGCATCATCGATGAAACCATTCTACGTAAAAGCGAATTTAAAAAGCCACTATAAAAATTAGATGGAAAATGAACCTTATTCTATACAGAGGCCAAAGGGAAGGTCTTCATAAAAACACGCCTTCCTATTACACGCTTTGTAACATTCTTAATTGCATATTTTCATGCTGAGCTAGAAAATGTTGGAGAAAAAACACTATCAAGTCTTGAGACTTACGCAATAATGCAAAACAATATGAATTTTTAAAGTGTTTTAGAGTGTGAAGTAACTTCTGTGAGGTATCTGGTATGGCAGTATCTAAATTTATAATAGATATATTGAAATGTATAGTATACACTTGTTTGATTGTATGTTTGGCGCGGTGGCTGGGCAATTGGCTGCCTCGCAACGCGTACCGGGTTCGATTCCCGCACAGAACAACTCTTTGCTACATAATATCACGCCTTTTATCCCCGAAAGGATAGGCAGAGGTGCACACAGAAGTAACACCCACTTTTCACTATTTATATTATGAGTCCTATGTAATAGGGGGTGAGCCTATTGCCATATACCGGGCACATTTCCAGACTCCGTGCTACCACTGAGATTGTTTTTTAAAAACCCAGTAATACTTTGCCCGACCCGGGAATCGAACCCGAGACCCCTTGCCCGGTAGTCGCACTTGTGACCACTCGGCCATCGAGGCAGTCTTTGTGTGATCCACAAATTGTTGTTAAGGGTCTTGGTGTCATTGTGTGTACCCACGACACAGGAGAAAAACCTAGTGTGTGTAACATAAAAAAAATAGTTTATAAGGTTGATTCATACTAACAACGCAACGACATAGTCTAAACTGCCTAACTCTTTGAATGAATTTCAACTTTATCAATTAAACCAAAAAACTGGAAATCAATTACAGATGTCAGATCGATATAATTTGGGTCGTTTGGATGGTCAACATCACGTTATATTCATTACTTTCCGAGAAAATAACCAGAAACATTATTAAAGTACACTTAAATTCCAGCAATACTACTTCATAAGGAAACTTTTACCAAACCAAATTCGACCATAGAATAATAAATAATATTTCAGATTGTGACTAATATCGAAAACTGTCAAACAA